AAGCCTACTTACTAGTGCCGAGACACCGCAAGATTAGCTTTTTGTAACAGTTGTATTAAACGATCCCCTATTTTGAAAGGTAATTTTTAAGATTTAAAGTTCGCCATATACGCGGATATATATATATATATATATACTTTCGCTTGAGGATGAAACAGGTCTTGTTACTTTAATTCAATTTAATTTTAATAATTATATTGATGGTTTCGGCTCTTGTTTTTGAAATATGAGAACTCTTATGTAGCGAAGGAATCATATTTTAAAAAAAATAATTATATATATATATATATATATATATATATATATATATATATATATATATATATATAGTGTTAATTTGAAATACTGTTTTTGAAGCCAGAATTGCTTGCTTTTCATTGGTTTGCTGATAAGGAGGCATTTAAGGCAAGCAGGCTTTGTGGTAGAGACGCTCAATATCGAAAACAGGGATAAACCATTAATCGAATTAATATGGCGGTTGGACGCATACGGCAACAATACTCCGAAGTAAACATGAGTTAAGTGAAAATGAAACGTTTTCCATGTTAATTCTCTCTCTCTCTCTCTCTCTCTCTCTCTATATATATATATATATATATGTGTGTGTGTGTGTGTGTGTGTGTGTGTGTGTATAGTCGTCTTTGTACTCGAGTCTGTAGATAGATATTGGTCACCTTTATATCTGAGTCTATAGGTACACAATGGTTTATACTTGAATCTGCTGGTAGATATTGGCCGTTTTTAGACTCGAATAAATATGCAAACCTTGGTTGGTCATGTTTATATTGGGTTCTTTAGACAGACGTTCGTCATGCTCAAACATGATTCTACAGTTAAACATTGGTTGGGTTTATAATTGAGCGCCCTGTCAGCACACCAACTACATCCTTTAATTTTTATCATTTCATCCCAAGCAAGACGGGTGTACCACTAATACGCAGGAGGTTACAGAGAGTGAAAGAAAAGCCTGGGTGTGGGGGCATTGAGGAAAGGATAAAAGATGAACGGGGTTCAAGAAGATAGAAGATGGCAGTTGTAGTTATCAGGGAGGCAAGTGAACGGAAGAGAGCTTCACATGCAGAAAGTGCAAGAAAAGAGACTGTTGAAGTAGAAATGGCGGTTACATTTAACTATTTCAACAGTAAAATTTGGGACCTAGATGCCAACCTAGTAGCACGCTTAAATCCATGCAGTCGAGGCACGAAGACAAAAAGCTCGTCAGAGCAGTTGCCACGAAAATATTTGTAGAAAAGACAGAGGGAAGCCATATCGCGTCTGTGATAAAGTGACTAAAGTCAAGATGCCAAGTCAGGATGGATTACATTGCAGATCCTTCTATGGATTTTGTCAAGAACCTTGAGATGAACAGCAGGGACACCAGACCAGAGGTGACAACAGTATTCAATGCACAGACGAATGGTAGATTTGTAAATATGCAAGATGGACTCTGACAACCACCGTAGAATCGCAAGAACTCCCTCAAAAGAAACAGGTCACCTTCCGATAAGATGCTTGCAGAGTCCAAATATAAATTAGTCAGCGATTTTTTGACCCAAGTACAAGTTGGTACTACGTCCACCTATCTTTTATTTCTTTGTAATATTTTATCCTATATTAAATTACCCATCTAGAGTTGATATGTCGTTAAATTAACCATCTAACCAATCAAATTAATACTTCAGTCTGTAGGTCGTGTTTCTACTTGAGTCTATAGACAAACGTTGGTCAGTCATTCCAGAGTCCGCAAATATCTACCTGACATGTAGCTCTTCTATTTTACATTTTTGACTCGGAGTCTTATCCATCTAAAGACAATACAGTTGACGTATTCGCTGTCCCGCAAATAGTCTAGATGCTAATCGAAAAACTAAGTAAAGTATTAAGAAACAGGAAAATTTCGTTAGAAACAAAGAAAAGAATACTCAGCTGTTATCTAATATAATTCCACTTATATGGCAGTGAATGCTGGGCAATCTCTGTACAGATGAAAAGGAAACTGAAAGCAAAAGAAATATGGTTCTACAGAAGGATGCTGAGAATACCATGGGCAGAACGCGTAAGCAATGAAGAAGTCTTAAGGAAAATGGAAACAAAAAGAAGACATACTTCAAATCAGTTAGTCAGCTGAAATTTCTTGAGCATATAACGAGGAAGGAGGGCTTGGAGAATTTGACACACAGAGGGAAGAGAGACAGATGGATACAGCGAGTAACCTACCTGACGAACTTGTGAAAATAAATGCTCAGGGAAATGGTGAAAAGATGAAACTTACTAAGAGCCACAAAGGCTAGAATGTTGTGGAAAGCCATAATCGTCATAATCGCTCACATCCTGAAGTGATACGCCACGTAAAAATGTTTACGACTTTTTTGAGTTTTCAAAGGCTTCGTCTGGTTTGTGATCGTACGATATTGTTTAAATGAGTAATGCATCTTCAGGAACTAATTAGCTAATGACGTCGAATAATCTATTTCGATCTTCAAGAAACGAATATTCTAGATTTGTTCTCAGCATTCTAAGACTGAATACACAGTTGAAACTTACGATTTTGTTAGAGATAATTTTACACACTTGGAAAATGAGTTCAGTAAATATACAGAAACAGAAAGAGGTACAAGACAAGGATGTGTCTTCTTACCGGACTTATTCAACCTATAAAACGAGGCGATCCTGAGACGATTATGATACAGGCAGGCAAGAAAGAAATTGGCAGGGAGCTCCACAGTTGAGAAGTGCGGGTAAAGGAACTATGAGAATTGAACCTGTGGTTGCATCTAACTAGTTGAACAGTAAAATGGTGAGACCTAGTTGCCAGTATAGAAGAAAGCTTAAATTCATGCAGTCAAAGCACTAAAAATAACAAAACTCATCAGAAAAGTTGCCAAGAAAATATTTGTAGAAAAGACAGAGGACAACGGCTGCACGTTGGTGAGAAAGATGCCAGGTCAAGAATGATTACATTATAGATCCTTCTTTGAAATTCATCAAACGTATTGAAATACATATCTCCAATGTTGTCATGACACACTGTGCTTTCATGACACCTGAAAATGATAGCTTCTGCACACGTTTGTTTTTGTGTATATAAGTAAAGTTTATATTTCCTATGTATACATACAATGCATTATACATATATGTGCTGTATTTGATATATATATATATATATATATATATGAATTATATATATATATATATATATATATATATATATATTATATATATATATATATATATTATTAAAAATTATATATATATATATATATATATATATATATTAAAGATTATATATATATATATATATATATATATATATATATATATATATATATATATATATATATATATACAATATATATATATATATATATATATATATATTGTTAAATATTATATATATATATATATATATATATATATATAATCTTTTAATAAAATTTCTCGAACATTCAGGCTGGTAGACGAAAATAAATATTCTATTTAATAAATAAAGAGGTCTTCTTAAATACGAGTACCCACTGAAAATAACATTTAAAGTGATTATATATATATATATATATATATATATACATACACACACATACAATATTATTTGTTAAAGGTTAAATAAAACGATTATGCTATCAATGATGAGCATAGTTGTTGCAATTATGTGCATCTATGATATAATCGTTTTATTTTATCTTTAAGAAATAACAGTAATAATTATTATCGCTATTCTGATTTTTTAACATATGTGGTAAACTAACAGTACTACTTCTACTAATAATAATCCATCTATTTGGTCGTGTTCTCTCCAGGACAGACCTGCTTGTTCCACTATCACCATCAGTGCGGCGATCGCCACCAGACGGCGCCACGTCGCGTTCCAAATCGCTTCTGTCTGCCGGCCGTTTCGCTCCCTTTGATTAACGACCTGTCTCGCGAAATCTCGCGCTGCCTTGTCTCGCGAGGCAGCGCTTATCTCATCATTCCTCACCTTTATTTCAAATAAAAGTCAAGATTCTATCTGGGATATGTCCGAAGTAATCAAACGGAAAATGGGGTATTAGAGGACATAAAGACACGGAATAAAAGAGAATGAAAGAGTGACCGTTGTGTGCGAGGAGGGAGCGAGAGAGAAGAGGAGGGAAAATGGAGCATAATGAAAGGGAAGGGCGGAGAGAACTAGCAAGAGAATGGAAGAGAGAAATAAAGGATAATAGGTAAAAGAAAAGAGAGAGGGAGAAATAAGATTATGAGAGTGGGAGAGAAAGAAAATGGAAAGAATCGACCAGTGTAGTGACGCGTAGAATAGAATGAATGAATGAATGAAGGAAGGAAGGAAGGAATGTTCAAAAAGGTTTTGTGAAAGAAAGAGACAATTTAAGATATTTTTCAAAGATTTAATGTTTTAAATAATCAGAAAAAATCATTTTTAGAGAAATAAGAATGAAAATTGCATTCAAAAGAAAAAAAGAAAAAGAACGCAAAAGGAAAACGGCCATATCATGTTTAAAAACCGGTTCTTGTACGATCATCGAGCTTAAGCATTGTCGAGCCTGATCAATTCCTAGATGGGTAACCGCACGGGAATACCAGATACAGTAAGCTTGGATCTTCCGGTGGTGTAATTGATAACGGATTGAAATTGAAAGTTCCAATTCCAGTCGGTTTCGTTATATTCACTTACACACAAATAATTTTGGGAAAGGCATGAATCATCATCTTCTCCTGCCAACTATGAGTTAATTAGTAGTAATTATTTAAGTATTCAATAATTATTATCGCCAAAAAATTCTTACAATATAAAAATATTTTGTAGCTTTAAAATAACCTGCAAAAGTTTGATAAGTCGTAAAAAAAAACACAAAAAATACCAAAACAAATCAAACAGAAAAAGCAATAGAGGGAAATAGAAAGATTAGGACAAGAAAAAAAAAAGAAAGAATTAAAGATTTGAAGTGTGTTCAAACGGAAAATATGAGGTATAAAGATTTTCAAGAAAGAAAAGAGAATAAAAATTATGCTATAAAATGAAAATAATACAAATGGAAAAAAGAAAAAAAGAAAGAAAAAGAGAGAAAAAGAGAGAAAGAAGGAGAATAATAATTATATCTCAAATGAAAATAATAGAAATTGAAAAAAGAAAGAAAAAGGAAAGAAAGAAGAAAGAAAAAAGAAAAAAAGAAAAAAGAGAGAAAAAGGAGAATAATAATTATGTTACAAATGAAAATAATAGAAATTGAAAAAAAGGAAGAAAGAAAAAGAGAGAGAACAATAAATATGCAAAAAATTAAAAATAATAGAAATTGAAAGAAAGAATGAATGAGGAATAATAATTATGCTGAAAAATGAAAATGATAAATTAAAGAAAAAAGGAAAGAATGGAGAATAATAATTATACTAAGTGAAAGAAACAAAGAAAAAGAAAGAAAATAGATTTTTAAGAAAGAAGGATAATAAAAATTATACTAAAAAAGGAAAATAATAGAAATCAACTGAAATGAATCAGAAAGAAATTAAGAAAGAAAACAAATTTTCAAGGAAGAAAGGAGAATAATATTTATTAAAAATGAAAATAATAGAAATTAAATTAAAAAAAGAGAAACAATAGGAAGGAAAGAAAAAAATCAATAAAGAAATTTATACTGGAAAGAAGGGTCAAAGAAAAGAGAGAAAAAAATGAAGTAAAAAGAAATATCTAACTAACAATTAAAAAGATTTTAAAATATTTTAAAACGATTTTTAAGAAAGAATAAAAATTATGAAATAAAAATTAAGAAAATCAGGAATAAAAAATGCGAAAACATTTGCAACAACATGAAAGGAAGAAAAAATGACCCCAAAAAATGCACACGCGTGTATTCGAGTATTTGTGTATGTGTGACCATGCATGTTTTCTTGCCAATGCACCTCTGTTCTGGTTCTCCAAACCTATTAAGTCAGGAGTGGGCGATAAATAAAAGACGAGTTGTCGTATGGAACATGCAAAAAACCGTCAATGGATCATGGAGGATCAAATCCAAATTTTCGGTTTGTCTTCAATTTCTTCGTTGTTTCATTCGCATGGATATTTCTCTTGATCAGTCACAAATCACAACATCACACTCGTTTCCAAACAGCAAAGACGTGTCATGAGTGAATGAGCAAAGTGTTGGGATTGGGCAGCTTGGTTTTTATTCATTTCTAATTTTCGTGACCAGCTTATCGAGAGAAAAGTCCCATATTGAAAAGAAACAGAAAACTTCTCTGACTAACGGTTGTCTGATATCCAAATATGCATCACAAGTTTTATTTATTTAAATCTCATAAGTTTGTATGAATTCACTTTTAGTATATTATATTAGTGTGTTTTTATTTTTTTATTGCTATTTTTTTTCGAAACGGAGAAGATTGCGAGAAGTAAAAAGAGAAACAAAAGGGTGAAAGGAAAATAGATTAGAACAAAATAGGATGACAGAAAGAGTGGGAAAAAGAATCTAACAAAGTGAGATAAAGGATAATAGGCAAGGGAGAAAGAGAAAGAGAAAGGAAAGAAGAGAGTAAGGTGGGAAAAGAAGATGGAAGTAGAGGTAGTGAGGTGGAATTCTTCAAAATGAAGAGAGAGGTGGTTGATTGATTTTGTTTAACGACATATCAACCTCTATGGGTTATCTAATGCTCAAATCTAAATAATTTGAACAAAGCGTTATGACTTCAACCAAATATATTTTGAATGCAATTGTATGACTTCCACTACAGATAAAATGTATTGTTAGTCATTTTACTATAAAAACGGTTGGTTATTTTACTATAAATAGGTAGGGTTGGTAATTGTATTATAAATAGGTATTCTTGGTGATTTTTTTATATATAGATATGCATTATTGGTACTTTTACTATAAATAGGTATTGTTGGTGATTTTTTCATATAAAAATGTATTGCTAGTATTTTTACTATAAAAATGTATTTTTTATTCTTTCATAGAGTTTTGTTTTTGACTAGGAGTTCACTATTTCTCCATAGCTGAGAGCCTAACAGGTGATACCACACCGGGTCAGGGTGGACCTGGGAAAAACAGCAATTATGAGGTGGTTCCATGCTCTTCAAAACCGCCAATAATTGCTACCGGATATAGTTTATCGTCATACTAGGACTAAGAGAGAGAAGGAAAACAGAAAATAAACGTTGAAAAGAGAAAATGAAAACGGTCCAGAATAAAGCTAAAATCAGAAATTACTGTTAAAAAGTAAAAATAAGCATGGTTGATTAAGTAAAGATTCCATGTAGATTAGAGGAGGAGGAGGAGAACAATAATAACAATAATAATAATTATAATAATAGCAATCGCCCAGAAATCGTGATCAAAAACCCCAAAAACAGAATGTGCTTTCTTATTGACATGGATGTCCCTGCAGATTGTCATGTATATTTGAATATCTTAAAAAAAAACAAAAAAAAACATCAAAATACAAGGATCTTGAAGTGAAAAAATGTGGCATATGAAGACATCAATAATTCTAGTTATAGTTATAGTCCTT